TTTTACAAACAGTCTCGCTGTGTCACCTAGGTTGGAGTGCAGTGGTATGATCTCTGCTCACTGCAAACTCTGTCTCCTGGGTTCAAGTGATTCTCATGCCTCAGTCTCCTGAATAGCTGGGATTACAGGGATTACAGAGTAGCCACCACACCTGGCTAATTTCTGTATTTTTGGAAGAGATGGGGTCTCACCATGTCAGCCAGGCTGGCCACGAACTCCCAGCCTCAAGTGATCCACTCCACTTGGCCTCTCAGAGTGCTGGGATTACAAGCATGAGCCACCACGCCCAGCCCTAAGTTTATTCTTGAACAATGTACATGATTAAATGTTATCAATTTCAAATTCTTCCCTGTGTATACTGGACATCATTCTGCCAATATACCAATTGCTTTTGGGTAGGAGAAAACAGATGAGTGAAAGTCAGTTTAAATCATGATGCATTAGTGTTTATCATCTGAACTACTCCTTTTCAAATCTATTTTAAAAGATATTGGGTCTTTGCTGTTTGCTAAAAGTGTCTAAAGGAGTTTGAAAACAAATTGGTTTTAATAGTTGAATCTACTTCATATGGATTATCACCCTTGATTTATTCTTTGAATATTAAAAGACTAAATTAAAGTTTCTTTTATTGTAATCTTTTTTAATCTCATAGATAAAAAACATAAGACAAAAATTTGCTCTGTATTCTCTCATTGTATTAATCATGGCACTTCTTAAGGTAAAAGGTGCCTGCATCTTGGAGATTAAGAGATATTGAGTATCTGCTCAGGGTTATTTTTGTTGTTGTTCCAATGTAAAGTTCAAGATTAACATGATTTGAGTGGCTTTGAAAACATGGCTTCATTTAATGAATAGCTATAAACATTTACTTTTAATTTAGTCTCAATTTTTGGACTGTGATTTCAATTATTTTGCTAGTAAAACTGGAAAATAAAATGCTAAACTGTGAAACATTTGGAAACCCTAAATACATTTAGAAAATATAAAATAGCAATAAAATTTAGAATGAATGCATCTCATTCTAATTACTCTCCATTTTGGGGGGCTTAAAATAAGTTGCCCTTTTGAAAATGAATCATACACAAATGTTTTAAATTACTAATGAAGTTCTTTGGTTCAAAAGCCAACAAACATCTATAAACTCTGATTTTTAACTCTTTCTTACTCTATTTTAATCATATTGTTATGAGAGCCAACTGCCATTCTATCTAGTAACTAATTTATTAAATAGGACAAGCAAAATTCCATAAAGTGGTTAAGATTACAGAGGAAACCCATTAATCAGAGTACAGATTTCAGATTATCACTGCCAAATTCTATATATGCCAAAAGATTTAACTTCTTTCTCAAACGTTCATTCATAACAATGTTTCTCAAATAGACCATAATCTATCCAAAATTATTATTAGATACCCAACTAAATGCCCCAAACATTCAAAATGCAAAATGAGCAAGGGGGAAATACTTTCAGAAGTTAAAGACAGTTAACACGAAGCTACTAGAGGAAGAAAGGATCCAAGTGACATACTGTTTGTGTTATTCTCCACCCACTTATTGATGTAGTTGGCCACAGCTACATTTTGACTGAAATCCACATGATTTACTTCCGCATTAAAATATTTTTTCATCATTTGCAAAAACTCCTCATTGATATGAAATCCATTTTGCACAAACAAGGAATTGGCAATTTTCATCACATACTGGCTCTCTTTAGCAGTTATCATGTTAGAAAACTCCTTCAAGAAAGAAAATTCTTCACCTGAAAGATGAGAAAGGATAAGTTTATTTGCAGAACAAACATGGTGAAAGGTCAAGGAGAGTGAAGGAGCATTAAAGCACAGCAAGGGAGATTAACCAAACAGGCACCCAGGGGAAAAGTGTCAGGCTTTCCCCCACATTAATATGGTCCAATACTTGTACTATTTCTAGATGTTCAAATTAACTTGTTGCAAGTTAATATCATCTACTGATATTATTTTTTATTTCATTGTTATTTTGCTACAATCTACAGGGATTGTTTTCTTTCAAATTACTAGGTTACTTTGATTAAATTAGACTTCCTTTATACTATTAGAAACAAATATCTAGTTTATAATTCAAGATCATCCTTTACATTTTACTCAGTAAACCTTTTAATTTTAAAACTAGAAAAGCCATTAGAAATGGTTTTAATTTTTAACTTTTTAATGTGCTAATTCACATGTATATCAGAGCATTAAAACAGAAATCAAACATCATGTCAAAGTGATTACAAAATACCATTAGGCTAGAAATTTCCCCCAATACATAGAATTTTTATAATAAGATAACACTTCAAAAACAATCTTGGATGCTATTTAA